GGTGTGAGTGGGTGTGTGGGCGTGAATGATGTTCTTGTCAACAGTCACCCACACCCACACCCACACGCCCACACCCCACACACCCACACCCACACCCCACACCCACACGCCCACACCCCACACACCCACACCCACCCACACCCCACACCCACACTCACACCCACACCCACACCCTTTTCAGCAATCGAAGGACAAGAATCCGAATTTCTTTTATAGTCTATCATTATTTTTTTATTTTTGAAAAAGTAAAGAAAAGGATGATTTATATGTTGATCTCTCATATTGCATTGGTGAGGGACAAAAAAAACAAATATTCCTTTGGTAAAGTTCTACTAAATTTCGTTGAGTTTTAGCAAGGTTTTACTATAACTGCATATTATGTGTCTTGCAATTTTGATTTAATCTTAAATCTTTTTCTCGGAACATCCATGTATAAATGATGAAAATTCGACTATGCTAATTGATAGACATGTAATATATATCCGATTGATTTAGTTATCAATTTTTATCAAAATTGTGGTTTTCATTAGACAGGTTTGCAAGTCATTTCTATTGGATCAATCACGAGCAATCGTTTATTCTATATCATTGGAAATTTTTATTTAGATTATTTACAGTGATCACCTATTTTTTAGATTATGAAACACAGTATTATAACTAACCTATTAGGAAAATATTATATAGTTGATATTAATTGATTTTCTCACATTTGATTTATTTCAATTGAGATACAAATAAAATCAGTTGACGAGATTCATCTTTGATGCTGAATAATCAAACCAAATCGAAATTTTTCTCTTAGATTTCAATTGTTTATCTGCCTATTGACATTACATTTCGTTCTAAGGAAATTTTTAAAGGATTTAGATTTTAAATCATGAAAAAAAGATCTCAAGATATATTGAGTCTATATATTTTAGAGCGATATGCTGATGTGAATAATGTTGAAAATGTCTAACGAATGCACAAGCTTGAAGAAACTATTCATTTCATCCGATTCAACGTGATTTATTTGAATGAAGAAAGAAAACGATTACTCTATTCGATAAAAAATCGTTGAACACGACTGTTTCCATTGTCGGCAACATAGAGATTACCATATCGATCGAAGAATATACCTGCGGGATAACGAAGATAAGTTGCTCCTGGTCCTTCACCATTTCCACCAACGATGATAGTACCTTCTTTCGCATCTTTAGGCCAGCGCATTACTCGATGATTATGTTTGTCTGCTACATAGACAGTATGCAATCTATCGACAAATATTCCTTCAGGATACGCCAATTGTGTTAAAGCTTTTCCTGCGCCATGACCTCCAGCGACAACAATTCCTTCTTGTGCATCTTTATTCCATTTTATTACACGATGATTGTAGAGATCTGAAATGTAGACAGCCTGTTCTTCATCAACAAAGATGTATCCCGGAATGTTGAGTTGATTGAAAGCAGTACCATTGCCATTACCACCAGCAACAATTGTCCCATCCTTATCTCCTATTTTATATCTTCTTACTTCATGTTTGTCTTCTTCAGAGACATAGAGATACCTCTGATTATCCATGGCTACTCCTCCACAAGCAATTCTCTCAACGAGAATTTCTCCTTGAGTTGTATTAGGACAACGAGACCATTGTACAACTCGTCGATTTACTCGATCACAAATAATGAAATTATCCATCTCTCTATCAATCAAAATATCAGTTGGATCATACAGTTGGTCTAATTGATTTCCGAAGCCATTACCACCAGCTACTATTTGTCCTTTTGTATCATTCAACTTCCATTGAACAATACGTGCATTTCCCCAGTCAGCAATAAACACTGTTTGATCATCATCAACGAAGATACCGTGAGGATTTTGAAGTCGATCCAAGGCGAACCCCCATTCAAGACGACCAGCAACAGTCACTCCATTCTTTCGCCATTGAGCATCTACTGGAATATTGGGAATCATTCCTGTCAAAGTAAAATAAGGGAATAATACTCAGATATATATATATATATATATTGGAACAATCCGCTTGGTCGAGTTACCCATTTAGGATGCAAAGAGACAACACTAAAGTTTAATAAACACTTGTCACATTAATATCGATACTCTCATTGAAACACCCTCGCGAGAGAGAAAGAGAAGAATCCGTCAAAAACCCATTCTAAAAGATTCAGTCTGGATTGAATGAAAACTACTAAAATCTCAGACATGTTCTTCCAGTGAATCATTCTTGTAAGTGTTGAAGTTCTTGTTGTGTAACTTTCATGAATGACATTTTCGAATTCTTCCTAGCAAACTTCTACTGCTGGTGAGAATGGTGACAAGAAAGCAAAGAGATCTAATAAGGGTCATTCAGATCCACTTTCAATAAGCATGAGTTATCTTTCATTCCTAGGTTTACCGCTATATTTTTGTAACTAGACCAGGGCTGGGCGAGTCGAGACAGATAATTTTTGATTTGCCATTCTTCTCTGTTTACTTTTACTAAGAAGGTTCGTCAGAAACATTCATTAAACAGTATCTAATTACAAGATTATCGGAACAAAAATTGAAAAAAGGAAAACCATCTATAAAGTAAAAAGATAGAATTCCTCTAGACAAATAACAATAGTAGCAACACGATTAGCTGTACAGTAAAGAAGTGTCTTTTTTTTATGAATAGAAAATTACATATAAACCTGTGTACAAGCAAAATGTATTCAGGAATCCATCAAAAGGAATGGATTTTTGATCCTAATATATCCATCGTCCAGACCCGTATATTCTCTTCAAGAGAAAGCTGTAATATTCAGATTTTAAACAAATTTTCTACAGCAATTTAGCTATAGAAAATCACTACTTTTCAAAATTGGTGGTCCGGACCCTCTGCTTCCCACTCTGTAGGAGCATAGCCCTGAATTTATTCATTAGAAATTAATGTCTTATTGCATCTCAAAGATGTTAATAGACAAATATTAGCTTCTGTAAAATTTGAATGATTCGATTTCAGTAAAAGATTACATTGAAAAAAAGACAAGTGCAACTGTTGCTAATGTGGCAAAACACATTATGTAAAAATATCATTTATTTACATACATGCGCACATTTTTGAAAGTGTGCGCAAAGAAAACAATCCCAAAGAGCATATGCTCAATACTACGGATAGACAGGAATATTCAACATGAATACGGATATTGAAAAATTTTCTTTCGGAAAGTCACAGAATGAAACATATTCAGTTGGTCAGTCAATGTTGGATAAACGAGCAATTTATCTTAAAAAATTGTAATTTGTTATACAACCTAATCAAAATTCTTTCTTTTAACGGCTGACTTGAGAATTACTCGACTTTTCGAGTCGACGCCAGTCCTGAACTAGACTATCATACATTTTATGTTTGTGCTATCTACAGGATGTCTCAAAAGTCACTTTATCAAAAAATAATTGAATATCTCTAGACAAGCTCAGCGAGACTCTTTGCTAAATAATGCTATTAACTTCAACATTAAAATTTACTTTTTCACAGATAGAAATACAAAGGATCTCTCTGGACATGTCTTTAGCAATATAAAGTTTGAAAATGCCTCTATCATTGATAAAAAATTCATCACATTTTACTTAAGTCGTAATAGACATATTCAATTTGTTTTTGGTAAAATGACTTTTCGGTCACCATGTTTACTGAATTTTCAATAACACATATATTATTATTTCAAATGTTTTTTTGTATTTTAAATGTTACTAAACATTCTCTTCTATATTAAAATTTTCCCTAAATGATCAACTTATGAGTTTGTTTTCTCCTTACTGAAAACTAACAAGAAATTGTTTGCAATGTTGATAGCCAAACCTATGAATGGAATGTTTCAGATAATGTGTTCCACATTCTTATAAAATGAAGAGAAAAAATGAATTTCGTTATTTTTAGGTATGAGCAAAACGAATCAAACTTCGACATTGACGCAAAAATGCCCACACGAGAATTACATACGACACTAGCTCATCAGCCTTATCAATGTAATCTTTTATTATTATAAGAAACGTTAATCTAAAACATACCTAGCTGCTGAATAGCGGTTGTAGTTGTCGTTGTCGTCGAAGTTGTAGTATCCATTGCTATTCATCATCAAATAACATTTATGTAAACAAAGTTAATTTCTGTGTTTATTAGGTCAGTAAAACTTTCGACAAATCAACTCAATGTGATTCGGTTAAATCAAATTAAACCAAACTGAATCCAACAGTTCTATTGTATTTTAGATATGCGATAAGAGTTACGTTCACTGGCTACGGTTGCAATACATAACTTTTACTGCAAGTATGAAGCGTTATAATATCGAATCATTAGAATATTCATTCATTTCATTCAATGGCTTATGTCTATCATGTTTCATCCTTTTTTTTTCAAAATCACTCTTCAGCATTTCCCTACCAAAGTGAGCTGCATATGTAAGAATTTGTGAAGGATAAAAAAATAAAATTTTCACTTTTATTTGAATCTGTAGATCATTGTTTGTTGTCTTACGTGCTATTAGTGGACACAATTGTTTATTGAAACTAGGAATCGGATAACAAACAGGTTGATTACGGCATCGAGGATGATGAACACATCTATGGTTAGGTTCATGACAAATGTTGTTTGGTTGTTCACATGTAATTAGTTCAAAACAATCGACGAATTCATCACTACAAATGCCAGTGTCAACAGCACCTGCTATGTGGAAACAGGCACATGCGCTGTTTGCTGAACATCGACCATACTGAGACATGCCATCACAAAATTGAGATCTCACGCGAACTAGTAACATAGTAAATTAATAGCGCCATATGTAAAACGAAACAACAACAATCAAACCTGTAAAGCTTAAAAGAAAAATTGTTCAATATTAGGCTAGCGTCAAAAACAATTAAGTTTTATAATTACCTGAATAAAACGAATAAAAAACAGTGAACTACTAGTAAAACCATCGCTTGCATTGGAATGAGATAGAATAACTTCGATATCCATCTTTACATTTTTCTTATCTATTGAAACTGAAGAAACGTCATGTGTAATCTTTCAACAAATAGAAATTCGATATGACTCTACTGCTTGCTTAAGCACTTAATTTTATTTCGAAAAAAAATAATATATCTAGAAGAAAAAAAGCGTCGTCAAAATGATATAGTATTGCCTATGAAATATAGTCATTTGATAGACTAGCGTTATCATTCGAAACATCAGTATTGTTATTGTCTATGGAATGGTGATTTGGACGAATTTCAAGGGCCAATTTTGTTTCTTCATGTTTATATTTCATGCTTATATTCACATCGATTACGTTCGATTGTTTTTCATGAGGGTGTGAGTGAAAGTGCTAGTGAATGACAGAACTACTAATAACATCCACATCCAAAATATTCGTCAAAAACATAACTGGAAGAAGAAGCATTGTAAAACTAATTCAGTAATCCTAACATTATAATTTTTATTTAATCGATGAGGTAATATATAAATAATATGATTAACGATGAGAAACAATTCTTTTTTTTGCAATTAGACAAGGACAAGGAACGGTGTCTTAATGGGGGAGGGGGACTCAGAAACGATTTTCCATTTAGAATGGTCCTTTTTGTGCTGAAATTTTTAGAGATGACTGATCTTGGAGAGATACCTTTTGGTAAAAATTTCAGCTCAATTGGTCATACTAGACTGGATTTCCAGCTGATTCAAGAGCCATTTTTGACTTTCAGAACAATCGGTATTACTACCTAGTAACAGAAGATAGAGAGCTCGGGCTGGTTTCAAATAAAAATACATGTTAATACGCTATTTTTATCCGAACGGAATTTTGGTTTTCTATTCTATTGATTTTTTATTAGCATTTTAGTGCGAAGGTCTTACAATTAGCATAAAAAATGGTAGTCCAAAGACAGTAAATTCCATTTTTCTCAGCTCAGGAACTGACTTTCAAAAATCCGTTCGGACAACAGTTTACTCTGATCGAGATCTTTAAAATAAAAAAAATATTGGCAATAGCTTGAAAAATGAGGGAGAAGATCGACTTTTTCTCGTTGGAAATCATATTCTGAGAAAAGTCTTGGAGAAGTTTTAGAAGTGGTTTTCTTTGGCCAAATTCAAAAATTCATTTTAAACTGGCATATTTTCAATAAATTTTCCAAAGCTATTTTAAGGCGCGTAAAACATGCAGTAAAACTAAAGCCATTTGACATGCGGATTAATATTAAAATGTTTTATCCAATGATATTTGAAGTACCACTGAAGTTTTCCAAAACTGAAAAACTATAAAAGACTACGAAAATTTCTCGGAGAATATGGTGGGAGAGTTAAAGTCTGGTCTGATAAGTCTTTGAAGAACCGATCATTTTCCAAAAATCTATATATATTCTGAAAGAGGAAGCTTCGCTCTATCTTGCTGTGGTAAAAGGGTGTGAGTGTGAGGGTGTGCATGTTCTTATCATACATACCCACACTCACACCTACATCCACATCCACACTGCACACCCACGCCCCACCCCACACACACTCACACCCACACTCACCCACACCCACACCTCACACACCCACACCCACCCACACCCCACACCCACACCCACACCCACACACCCACACCTCACACCCAAAGATAGGGTACCTTTAGGTCCATAAGTACTATATTAATGGAATACCCTTAGGTCCTCATGTCCTATATTATAGGGTACCCATAAACCCTCAAAGGCTATATTATGGGGAAACCCATAAGTCATCATGGCTTACCCTATGGTGGTACGCATTAGTTCTTAAGTGCTTTCCATGAGCAGTACCAATAAGCCACGAAGGGCTATCGAGAGTTGGTATCATTAACTTTTCAAGTATTCTCTTGCTGTAGTTCTGGTTACTCTTCAAGAGCTATTCCGTAGAGAATGTCAGGTACCGCTAAATGTTTAAGAGTTATCTAGCGTTATGTGTCACAGATTTTTAAGAGCTTTTGCGCACAGGGTGC